CCGCCTTTGCGGTGGCCGCCTCCCCCTTAAAAAAGTTCCACCCGGCCCGTTTCTTTCGAGCACGCGGAACTCGTTAACCCGAGCCCCGAAAAGGGTCGGGCCGCCTCGGGTTCGTCCCGAGGAACCTGGAGCCTCCTTCAAACTCCTTATTACGCGGTGTCATCCGCCGAGAGCTCATCCGCCGAGTCCCTAATATGCGCGGAATTTACCCCCGAAGTCCTTCCGCGCCCCCTCGACCGCGAGTCGCCTTCGATACGAGACGACGGCGAGGGGGCGATTAATCGCCCTAACGGAATTTTCACGGGATTTTCACGAGATTTTCATGGGATTTTCACGTCCTCCTTCCCCCCTTAGCAGGATCCACCCTTTGTTTCGACACCGCTCGATAAGGAAGTCTTTCCGCGGCCCTCTAACGGCCGCTGGAGCGACCAATTTGTCACGAAGCGTTTTCCATTATGCGTCCAATAATACACTCCGGAGTAGCAGCATTGTTACCGGGGAATCGGAGCGGGCCGGTGGGATGGCTCGAATAATGCCTACACCTCGCCGCCATTGTCGGCCCTGTCGAATCGACAAAGAAGTTAGTTAGCCTGCCGAATCGCTCGTTAATCGATTCGAAATAGTCGTCGATCACGGCACTGCCTCTCTCTCCGCCCCTCCGAGGATATTTCCAAATGGTGCGGTCCAATTTTTCAGTCGTCCTTTCCCTTCTTTTTTCGCTTTTTTTTTTTTTTTATTTTCTTTCTACGCGTTCCCCGGAAGAGCGGCAAAATCGTAAAGAGCGTCCTTAGGGTTCCCGGTGGGCCGCGTTAAAATAACATTTACCCGCGGAAACACGCGGGATATTTTCCCGGGACGGGGTGCTTTTACTTTTCGCGGTGGGTGCCAACATCAATCCTTCATTCCGAAAATACGTCCGACGCGCGTACAGCTTTTTTCCCCGACTAAACTTCCCGCGGGGAAAAAAGAGAGAATTCGGGAAAAAACTCGGACGCGACATTCGAGGCGTCATCCTACCCCGCGGGCTAACAAAAACATCGAGCCACCCCCATTTCCGGGGGGGTGGATTTTCTTTTTTCTCTCCTCCCGTTTTCGAAACAAATCCCCGCGTCAAAGGCGAGGTATCGATCGATCTCCCCGTGGAAATTCGACCTTCGAGGTAACATCCGAGGAAAAATCTACCTGGAGGTACCGCGAGATGGGGAGGCACGCGAAGGGAGGAAAGGCGGCGTCCGCGAGGCTGGACGCAGCCGGGCACGGACGGAAGGATCACCGGTGAATACAAATGTAGGAATTAGGCACTGATTGGCCTCAACTCGATCAACTCGCAGTGATTGGTTAGTTAGAGTTTAAACCAGACTCGAATCGACTCGACTCCCGGATTCTTTGGCAGACTCGCGGGACCCGCCTTGACCCTTCGAGCGGAGGTGGAACCCCGCGGACTGGCCGAGTTAGCCTTGTTAGCCGTCTCTAAGCTGTTCCAACGGATCCCCTCTCCCTCTCTCTAGTCCCGTCTCGCCCCATCTCGCCCCCCGTTTCCTTCTCGTTTCCTGATTTTCCGCCCGCCACCCCCGGGCGACGTTCCCGCCCGGGGTGGAGCCTCGCGTGCCGCGCGTTTCGATTAGCGCCGGATTTTAGAGCCCGAGGAACAACTGCGGGGGAGGGAAAAACTCGGGGAAAACCACCCCCCGAGAGTTCCTAGCCGAACTGTTTCCCCCCCGGTTGGGGGATTTTTTCCCCCCGGAGCTTGCGGAATACTCGAAGCGGGAAGTTCGGAATCTTTCTCCCCCCCGAACGGGGTAAAGTCGAGGAAGTCCCGATCATCGAGAACCGAGATCGCGAAGGGTGGCGGATAGAGGGTGATTTTGATACGGCGCCCCGTTCTAATCGACGGTCGTGACCGACGTCTTCCCTGGCCACGCGACGTGGGGCGTCTTCCGAGGATCGCGCGTCCTTCCTCCCTCGACTCCGTCGGAAAGTACAAGCCTTGGACTTGACAAGGGAGACCGGCCCTGACGGGGGTGTCCCTGAAAAGTGCCGGATTAGGGTTCCGTGCCTCGTGAGTGACGCGTCGGTAAATGCAATCAATTATCGGTGAAAGCACCGGTTAAACGCGGCACGCCATTCCGGGATCTATCATTCCACCAATTCCGGGATAATCTTGACCATCCGGGACCGGACGTTTCGCTGGGTTCTGGCAAAAAGAGGGACTCCTCCTTTTTCCTCGATACTATGATTCCGTATTTATCTTGGCGTCCCCTCTACGTGGGAAAGCGTGGCGAACGAGACGGGAAGCGATCCTAGAGGCGGGATGAAATGAAAAATCGGCGCCTCCGAGGTGGACGCCCGATCGGCAGCCGAATGTCGCGCCCGAGTCAAGCCCGGCCGGATAGGTCGGGCCCGGCGTGACCCAAATTTCCCCCCAAACTCGAGCCCGGGGTTATAGGCGCCACGTGTGCGCCGAGGCCGACGCGACCGACCGAGCTAAAATTTGATTGTGTTCGCGCCGCTAGATTTTCGCCGGATAGAATTAATAGCCACTCCCTGGCCCCCTTCCCGGGCCGCTTCAGCCCCTTCATCCCGATCATCCCCGTCATCCCCGGCCATTTTCCCCCGGCCGCGCTTGTTTGCAGTGTAAATCAAGTTTCGCCCCGATGTCCTGCGAAATTAAAGAAATCCTTGATCTATGGCCGCCCAGACGGCGCTCCGCCGTCCCGCGTTCTGCCGGTCGCATAGCCAACTTTTGTACTTGGCCCATTGTACGATTTTCAATGGATTTTTCTATACCGAAGGACGGTCTCGCCCGCCGCCCCTCCGCTCCGGGGGAGGTACCCGCCGTCTCTTCTCGGCGCTCCGAAGAACCGGGGCCCATAAAAACCGCAATTTTATTTTCCCGGCCGCATTGAACCCGTTGTCGACGAAACGGCCGGATCGCCGATCCCCCCCCGCGGATGATAAAGACCGCGGCGCGTCCTCAAACCCGATTCAATTATCACGGGGAATGTATACCGAACGATCGCCCTTTTCCGGGGTAGGATCCTCGAGGAGAGCTCCAACTCCTTCGGGAGGAGGACGAGGGCCGGTCGCGTCTCCCGCGCGGAATAAGTTTCGCCTCCGGGCGGAAACCGTCGCGGAAAGGGGGCGCTCCGGAGCGGAAAAGGAGCGGAACGACGTCGGTGGCCGATAGCCGAGATTGGTCCCGGGGCTCGACCGGCGATTCTGTTTTATATAAAGCAGTAAATAACGCGGAAGAGCCGGGGGTGGGCTCTGATTTTATTTCCCGAGGCGTCCCTCTCCCTTCCGCGGCCGGTCGGCTAGTCTCCGGGTCTCCCTCGCTCTCCAGCCGTAAGTAGAAATGGAAGAAGTAGAAGAAACGGCGCTAGAGAGAGAGAGGGAGAGACGGGGAGATCGCGGGAAAGGCCGAGAGCGGGTTACCCGTCGACACCCTCTTACCGGCGATTCCCATTCAGGCAATGACGCCCCCAATCGTAGAATAAATCTGAAAATCGTTCTCGTACCGGCCCGTCCGCCGACCACCCCCTCGCGGATCTCCTCTAACCCCTCGTGTGCCCTGGACGCGCGTCCGGGGACCACGATACGCGCCTCCGGGAAAATGAATCTCCCTGCTCGAGGACTTCTCCCCGACTCTCGATAACCCTGGTAGGTCGACTTCCCGGGTGCGGATTCGGCCGGGGTGACATCGGGGGGTTGGAACTAATTCGCCGGAATGGGTGGGCGCGCGTGGCGACGGCTGCCGGGGGTCGGGGTAGGCGACGCCGGCCGAATCCGCTGGAAACGACGGAACCAGGGAATACCTCTAACCACCTCGGATAGACTATCAAACCGATCGTAATCGGACCACCCTCCGCCTTTCCACCCTCCGCGCGAGCACATCCCGGCCGGACTAACTGCCGGCGGAGGAAAGCTCCCGGCGTTAACTCGATTTTCGACCGCCCGACCGGAGCCGTTTCGCCATCGCGCCCGAAGAGGAGGAAACGACCGGGACGCGGTTCCCTGTTAGGGGAGCAATATTTAACTACGACGATTTCTGCCCCCGGGGAGGGTCCGTCTGTCCGGAGCACATGCTGAATTCGACCGTCGTCGGCCTCCGGTCGAATTCGCCCTGACGTCCACTCCGTGGACCGTCATCTTTCGACCGGAGGTAGAGAGACACTCGGGCGCATTTGTATAAAATTTCTTCCCTCCGGGTCGGCCGAGGGAGGCGAACGAGGAGGGGCGGATCGCGAATCATCCCCTGGAGGGCCGTGCGTGGTAGTTCCTTCCCGCTTATCCGTCCCAAAGTGTCCATCCGTCTGGGAGGGAGCGCCAGGGTGGAGCGATCCGTAACAAAGGGTCCACCGACGCGCGGGATGGTATTTTCCGGGGTGAATATCAATCTTCCTCCAGGGCGCGGCACGCGCGCCGGAAATTTTTCAAGGAATCCCCGAGCCCGGGGACCCTCGACGCCCATCGACGCCTGCGGGGGGATTCGGACCTGAATTATTCCCCGGGAACCCAATTACTTCCGACCGCGCCGGTTGCGGCCAACTTCGACACCCGTTCCGGCATTCTCGCCCTAAGCGGCGGGGCCGAGGGCAAACAAACCCGTAAATAAATTCGGAGGGTGCGCGCCCTGCGCCTCCGACTAGTCGGGGCGACGCTAAATTAAGGGTTGCAATTTTAATGGGCTCGCCGAAAGCGGGGGTCGCCCTCCGATTTCGGGCTCGCCCTCCACCCTTGACCACCCTTGACCGACGTTAATCACCCCTTGGCCGGCCGCTGACGAGACGGCCTCCGAGAGGGCCTCGTGCGCGCAATTACTCCGCTAAATGTCCTATCTTTATTTACGTTATCGCCGGTCCAATTGCGGGGGTGCGGTCCCGCCCAATTTCCAAGTGCCTCGCGATCGAGATCAAACTCTCGAGGACTCGCGATATTCTCGAGAGGGGCGATCCGCGCGTACCTTGCGACCTAACGAGATCCTCTACTTTCTGTTTCAGAGCACTACCACATATTCGTCGGGGACCTGAGTCCGGAGATCGAGACGCAGACGCTGAGGGAAGCCTTCGCCCCCTTCGGCGAGATCTCGTAAGTCCGCTTAAGTCCGCTCATTAAAGCCGACTTACCGTGCGCCGACGATATAAGGATATAACGATATAACGCGCGCCACGGCCCGGAAAGACCGATATTGCCAGACATACGCAATATCGCCTCCGTCTCCCGCGGTCTCCCGCGTCTCGAGGAAGGCTTCGCCCCCGCCTACTTACCCTCGTATCGTAAAGATTCGCGACACGACCCGGGAAGGCGCCATCTTAGCCCCTTAAAACGCGCGGATGGCCGCGGGGCGCCGGGTATATCCGTTCCTACGAGCGCGGGAATACTCGGGGAGGCGGCCTCGATAGATCGTAACGCGCGCAAGGATTATTAGATCGGATATTAGAATAATTCCGCCGTAGCCAGAGACCCGGGATTTACGCGCGGGATTTCCTCGGACGTCCCAGGACGCGTCGGAGCGCCCGGAGGGAAGAGCCAAGGAGAGGGGTCGGAGGAGAGCCGCGTTATATCAAGGACCAGTGGTCACTCGACCCCGACCTCCGACCCGGGAAGACGTCCTCGGATCGACAGGATCCTCCGACTTGTCCCGGATGTCGAGGGAGCCTCGTATCCAGGATCGGGCACTCGAGGTCCTCTCGAGACTCCGCCAAAAGCTCGCGTCCGGCATAGCGCCGGAGAGGCGAGGCTCCCTCTCCGTCCCCTCCACCCTCTCTCTCTCTCCCCGGCAAAATCGATTCGAACTCGCTCCGCCAGGACCTAAGCCGCGCTTTAAAAAGCTCGTGAAAAATTGCCAGTGGTTTTCCCTTTATTCCGCTTTCCGCAACTCCTCCCACGCCTCCCGCTCGGACCACCTTCCTTAACTCTTTCCCTCGGCTCGGTTTCTCGTCTCCCCCTCTCTCTTCCTCTCTCCCTCTTGGCTTCTCCCCTTTCTCTCCAGCCGCTTTCTTTCTCCCTCCGGCGAGCGAGCCGGTAAACACTCGGGATTAATTATGCGCCCTCTCGCTCCACGGCCCGACCGCTGATCCATTCGACACGGGACCGAGAGGGATAACGGGGGACGATTTACGGCTCCTCCCGATGTCGCCTCCAGGACCACCCTCCACTCCACGACCCGTATGTCGACCCCCGACCCCTTAATCCTCCCCTTGACTTTCCGTCCGATCTTCCGATCGCCCCCTGGCCCTTCCCCGGAATTCGAACCCGACTCTTCCGCAGCTTTTAAGGCGACCCCGGACCCCCAACCCCCGACCAGGACCCAAAACCTCCGTCGGGGCGCTAAAAGCGTCTTACCTAACCGACCCCTCTGTGGTCGGCCACCCCCTGGATCCGATCCAGAGCCGCACTTTTCGTCGCCCCGGCCGGACCGCACCGGACTCTACGTTATTACGCGAATATGCTTAGCCGACGTTATCGGTCGGCGTTGCCGCCGGAAATAAAAATCCTCCGACCGCTTACGGAACGCCGGGGCGGTTCCGGAGGGTCCGAATCGCGGTTTAATTCCCCCCTGCGCCCCAGTGGATTCGAAAGGGCGGAAAGAAACGCGCCGTCTCCGCTGGGGGGGAAATTCACCCGAGGGTGAGCCCAGTTCCTCGTTACTCGACGCACTTTTCTACGGCGGATCTCGCGCGAAATCGCCGCGGAACGGCCGCGCGTCCCGTATCCGGGCGAACGTTTCGCCGTTTATATCGCGGCTTGATCTCGGCTGGCGAACCAAAGCCCGCTTTCAGGTTTAAATGACGGCTAAGTAAGCTCCGGCCTGCCCCTCCGGCGCCTCCACCCGCGGTCGCGCTCTCGGGGTGCGGCCCCTAACTTATGATACACGGAGGCGTCGTTACCGCGAGTCCCCCTTGCGCTTTCGCGCCACTTTCCACCCCCTTTCCACCCGGCGACCCCGGACCCCTCCCCGGGGACGACCGCCCTGAGAGTGTAATAAGTGCCTCCAGGTGTCCCCGACCCCCCCAGCATCCCAGATTTCGTTATTAATATTTAACCACTGCCAAGGATTAAAAAGTTTCCGGAATTCTAATGCGGACCGGCCGACTGCCCCCGACGCGAATTTTAAATTCGGTCACCTCGCCCCCCGGGGGGAGGCTCCTCTTGCCCCCGGAACTTAATTCCCGACCCGAGTCTCGAAGACGCTCGGCGTCGTTTCGATATTTCGCCCTACATCTTGAAGTTATGTTAAACCATAACATAAGCTTATGTTAAAACACTTAATTTCTGCGCGCATTTTTATATTTGAAAAAAAAATGCGCAATGACTTACGCATCAACCCAATACCTTCCGCGGTCGCACTTTCCCCGCATGCCGTCCGCAGGAGTGCCGATCACGCGGTCGTCGTCCCGGGCTCGTTCGACTCGGCGGAAAGCTCGGGAGATCGAGAGGCGACCCCGGATTTATTATTTTATCGCGTCGTCACTGACATGGGGAGGGAGGGGGAGCGTCGCGAGGAGTGAAGAGCGAGGGCAAAAGTTGACAGGCTCCGAAAGTTCCGAGACCCCCGTAGAAGGCGACGGCTCGATTAGTTTGCAAACGACCGTAACTTTTCCGAGATCTTTATCCGTAAAAGTACGGCCAAGTTTCCTCGCGAGGGATAGGATAGGAGAGGGGAGGGAGCGACGGCACCGCTCGTCGTCCGATTGTAACGCCCGGTCATAATAATCGAGCTCTTTTCCTCGATCATCCTCCGACCCACCCCCGCGCGCTCGATCGAAGTTCCTTAATTATGACGCCTCGGCCTCCCCCGCCCCGCGTCCCGCGACTCGACGATACGATCCGCGACCGGGAGACGCTCCTCGACGCTTTTTACCCCCCGGGGGATCGGCTTCGAGGGGCGTCCGGGGCGACTTCGAGTCGCGAGTCTGCCGACGGCTTAATTCCTAGCCGCGCCTCCAACTCGGGGCGCGAAGTGTCCAAACTTCAGGACACGCGAGGTCGGACCGGAGGAACCGTTCCCGGGAGAAGTTCCGCCGTAGAAAGGATCTGGGGAAGCGGGCACGGTCTCGGGGCTCGTTTAGGGTGAGCTTGAGGGGAAAATCCGTCCGCCTGGACCGCACATATCGCTCGGGTGTTTCCCGAATTTGACTGTCTTTTGGGCAAGGGCGGCCATAACGTATTTCCAATGACCAACATAAATCAGAAAAAAACCGCTCGGCAAGGATGTTGCTCCCCTCTCGAAGGCAAGACGCAGGCGAAGCGTCTTTTCTAACGAACCGAAAACGCCAGTTCATCGCAGGATTCGGTGGGCTCAGGACGTCACTCGGGACGCTCCTCCACTTAGGCTTTGCACGGCTACTTTCTGCTAGGCTCATCAAGTTTGATAGCCTCTCTCTGTTAATTACTTCAAATTGTTACGCTAGTCCGTAAAGCAATGAAACGGACACTTGTTGGTTTTGTTCACCCGCGTGATCGATAAATAGAACTTCTCACCTCGCGTATCCCGATCGAGTTCGCGTTCGATTAGGATTTCGCCCTCGCGGTGTAGTTGTACTACAAGCTCGTACAGAACAGGGCTGGTTTTTCCCCTCCCGGCGGCGTTATTCCGCGTCTCCGGCGGCATAATTTCATGGAGCCGCGGATCACGGTCCGCGCCCGGGCTCCGTCCGGCCCGGGCGGAGCATGTAATCCCGGTAGCGTCTCGCATTAGTTCCGGTTGTCCCGTTTTGATCCCGGGATTATCGTACATCCCGGAGACAACGCGGGGATCCGCGGACGCGGCCACCGGGCCGAAAAGCGGATCCTCCGGCGATTCTCCGCCGGACCGGGAAGGTAAGACCGAGGCGGGGGCGAACGACCCCGCGTTTAAGGGGGCAGGTCGCGAATGCGCGATCGCCCGATTTATGGCCCCTCGAGATTATCGTTCCTCCGGCCGGTCGCGTCCCTCCGGGGGGCTTCCGGCCCCCCTCGGCCTCGAGCCGACCCCATCGGCTTCCGGATCCACCCGGCCCCGACCCCGACCCGACCCGGAGTGGAGCACTCCGGCTCGAGACGTTGTCGGGGCTTAAATCTCCCCCCGACCGCCGCTCGACAAACTGACCCCGTAAACTTAACCTCCTCCCGCCCTCCCTTCGAGCCCTCCCAGCTCGCGCCTCGCGGCAAATAGCCCAGGAGAGCTCGGTTCACCGGCGCCGTGACGCGTTACGGCGCCTTTAGCGTACGCCGCCTCCTCGTCTTCGCTCCTCTTCGCTATCGATCGCGGCCGAGCCGGGCCGGAAGACGCGCGGATCGGCCGGCCGGCCGAATCGATGGGACCGCGTCGGCATAATTCTCGCCGGCTCCGGGGGAAGTTTTCACTCGGCGCGGCCGGGTCGAGTCGGAGGTAGGTCAACGGGTATGAAATTTCAATGAGGCTCCCCTCTGTCGCGCGCCGCCCCGAGAAGGCCCCCCGAGCGGGCGCGGGTCCGCCCGGAATTATGCTCCGCGTCGGAAATATCGAGCGGAGGAGAGACCGGAGAGAGCGAGAGGGCCGCCCGGCATCTCCCGGATTCTCTTTGTAGGCGACCTAAGAATTCCCGGCCGGCCGGCCGGGCGGAAGAGTCGGCCGTCCTCCGGAAACGGGCCGCGGAGGCGCCTCTCGGGACCCTCCACCCTCGAACCCCCGGTCGATTCGGATCGGCCCGGATCCCCGGAGGGGATTTTAACGAGGTAACCGCCGACCAAGCCCAAAATTAGAAACGGCATTCAGCGGGACGGCGCGGAGGCATTTCGCTCATTAGGTAATAAGAGCGAGTGCTCGGTACGCGGACCCTTCCGCGAGCTTTCCAGCCACTCTCGGGCCCCCCTGCCCCCCACCGCGGGCATTCCGCCCCGGTGTCCCCGCGGCCCCGAAACCCCCCGTTTCTTCGACCTCGCCGCCCGGGTCGAGCCCGCCCTCTCGCCCTCTCTCGAGTGGCCGAGTGGGTGGCGGGCGGTGGCGGAACGGGCCACGGGAAGAGCTACCTTCCGAGTGAAAGCGCGCAGTTACACCGGGCCCCTGCCTCCTGTTGTCCGAATAAAATATTCAAGCCTCTCCACGGCACAATGATACGTGCCTC